GAACGGGGGAGGGGGGAGGCTTGGGAGGAGCCCTCTGGTGACAGCGGTCTTTCTGAACCTGAGCGTCGGCCCTTGCACGTTCCGCCCCCTTGGGTGGGTCTGTACCATCAGCGCACACCCTTTTCTCTTTGGTTTTCCAGCTTGTTTTCCTCATGACCTCCTGGAACCAGATTGAGAACAAAGGCCCCGAGAAAACACTGCTTTTCCTTTGGGACGGGAGCCGACAGGAGGGGAACGTGTTTGCTGTCCTCTATTTTTTCCTTATCCATTTCCGTTCTGGAGTGGAGCCAGAGGGGAGAGGGTGGGAAGGCAGCCCCAGGGCCCTGACCTCCAGGCATTCCCAGCGTTGGAGACGCTGGAGAAGGCGACCGGGGGCTGCAGGCAGGCCCAGCTCAGCCGGTGTCCACCCCCACGTGCTCGCGTGTCCCTGGTCTTGTCTGGTCCTCACAAGCCTCGTTGCTGAGCAGTTGAGGACACGGAGGGTCAGAGAGGTTGCCAGTTCTACCCAAAGCTCCGGCTGGTGGCAGAGCTGAGCCCGAGCGGGCGCCCAGCCTCAGCCTCTCTCCGGACCCCGTGTTTCCCCGGGTGGCCCTGGGGCGCTCCAGGGCCTGGGTCCCTGCTTCCCTCAAGCCTGTGACCGCTCGGTCCCGATCTCCGTCACTGCGGTGTCTCCGGCCCTGTCCCCTTTGGGAGGCGCCCTGACCGGTGGCCTCTCTGTTCTCTGTGTGTCCTTGAGCCCGTTGCTGCCTGATCATCCGAACGTCCTGTCGGGGCCGCCGGAGTTCTTGCATTGAAGGACCTCCACTGGGCCTTTCTGTGCTTGCCCAGCTCCGGCCGCCCACTCGGGCTCGTGCTCGCACCTCCACCCCGAGGTGGTCCCCTGAGTGTGGCTGTTGCCGGACCCTCTGCCACTGCGGCCCAGACCGGCCAGCCTTTCCTTTTGCGCTGGGAGGTCTGAGCGGTCCTGAGCGCGGCTGCGGTCCCTCACCCGCTTTCAGCCGGGAGGGAGAGTGAACGTACCCTCTGGCTTTTATGGGTCCCGGTGCCTCTTGGAGAGACCAGGTCTTGACGGGCACTGCACTGCCTTTAAGATGCAGCAGGGTGTGTCGATGGTGGTGAACTGGGCTTTGAGGTCAGACCCGTCTGGGTGTGAGTGCGGCTTTGCCACATGCCACACTGAACAAGTCACCTAACCCCTGGCCCTCAGATTGCTCATGTTTGACCAACGGGAGTAAATCCGCACCGGCTGTGGCAGGAGAGGCCCAGCATGGTGGTGGGGTCGCAGTAAACGAGGTAACGTTATTTAACCCCAGAAATCTCCGATGGCCACGGACGGTGACAGGGTGCATGTCTCTGGCCGTGAACGTTTCTAAAAGCAGTGCCCTGGTACAACATGTCTGCACGGTGGGTGTTGCCAGGCGTGATGTCATTTAATATCCACAGCAACTCGCCCGTGGTGGTCTTGTCTCCATTGTTAAAGGGGAGCGGCCTCAGGGGTCTGTGCGGATCCCACCAGGAGGGGGCGGCGGCTCTGTGGCCTGTGGCCAGTTTGTTCCGACTTCTCCAGTCAGGACATGTGGGCAGTGCGGGCGTGAGCCTGCCTTCCAGGACCTTCCAGAACCTTCCAGAAGCCTAAGTTTCTGCTGCTGCCCGTGCTTCGTTTGCTTCAGACTTGTTTTTGTGGGAGGAGGACATCCATTTCAAATCTGCTGGACACCGTTACCAAGCAGCTACTGGTTTACAGAAGCCTAGTGGGTGGCAGAGACAGGGAGTGGAGAATTGGGGTTTCAGACCCGGGGCTGTCGGGGTCGTCCTGCTCCCCTGCCTTGCATGCTCACCGCTGTGGGGAGAGACCGTTGCATTTTGGGAGTGGAGGGAACCACCGAGGTGACACCTGCAGACGGGATGCGCTCACCTGAGGTCACAGTTCGGCTGTGGGCAGCAGGCCCCCCGCCCCTTCCTCCTTGGCCTGCTCCCTGCTCCCTGCGGCCGCTGTGCTGGGAGGTGGGGAGCAGCTGGCCAGCAAGCTCTGGCCTCTCCACGCCCCTCAGAGCCTGCCTCCCACCCCCTGTCTCCCTCTCAAAGACGGCTCCCTCTGCCTCTAGGCTGGGCTCCTCGGCGTGGCTGTGCCCCGGCCACGGCTGCCCAGGCCCGCTGGCTCCTCGG